CAATCTTTAATCTTTTCTTTTTATTTATGTCCCCTCATCCCAAGTCTTTTCTCCAAACCTAGATTCTCTGAAGCCCAAAAGTTCCAACAGGCATTTCAGGCTCTGTTTCTTACCCAGCCCTATTGACCTCCTCTCCCTGCAGTCAATCAGCCTGACCATTCTTGCAAACCCTTGGATCTGTACTTTGAAAAGGTTATTGATTCTTGACATAAATCTCTTAAACATGTGGAAAGAGAATTGCTCTAGAATAAGAAAACTCAACCTTTTGCCAACTATGCTTCTTTTGTTAAGTTCCTTCACCCTTTGAAAAGCAATATTAACTTCGGTCGTGCTCACTGTGCCTGGAAGGTAGGGTCCTCTGTTGGACAAACAGACCAAAGCCAGTGGTCACTGATCTGGTTATAGGAGTAAAAGACTAATCAAGCAATCTAGGAGAAGGCTCCCTTTGATATTTACCTCAGGGTTATCTGGAGAATTTCTCTCATGAAGTGGTATTTATTAATCTCCCTGAAGTAAGTATATTGGAGGTGGATTCTATGTCATATTCATGTATCCTCAGTGACTAGCACTGTACTTGGCACATAGTCTTGTTACTAAATGCAGGTTGAATAATGAGAGAGATGTTCTTTTTAAGTTCCATTAATAATAACAGCAGCTGATTGAGCACCATTTTGTATTCAGTGTCAGAACACTCAGAGACTACCAGAAGTGATCCATGATGTCCAATTGGAGTAATAACTTCTCAACTGAGAGGTGACAGTGATGACATATGCCTCGGGGGTTTTGTAAAGATTAAATGAGAAATATATGCCAAGCAACTTTTTCATTTAGATACATGATGAATGGAGCAACAGGGAGTCAGACCTGGGATTGTTTCCGCTCTACCACCTACTTCTAAGGGGAAACTTGAAGAAGCTGTGTGACTTCCCTGAGCTTCTTTTCTCATCTGAGCAATGAGGTTAACAGCACCTGTCTTGCCTCCCTCCCAGTCATTTGCAGTGATCGAGAGAGATAATAAAAAAAGATAAAGGGGCCTACACATGTAAGAAATTCAGTATTAGGGGAACCATGGGATGGGATTTCTAAAACCTGGCTTTGGCACCTATTGGTCCTGCAACTTAAGCTCACTAGACACAGTTTCTTACTATATAAAATGAAAGGGCTCATTTAGTGTATTTTTGATGCTTTTTTGGTCAATAGTGATGGATTTGTAGAAATTCTCTTAATGTGTTATTAGAATTAAAATAATCACATATCTATAATTTTGGGCCTTATAAGTACTAAGAAAACCTTTTCATTCTGAATAATGTCTGAATTTTTACAATTCATTCTGCTTTCCTATATGTCAAGAATTTAGCTGTACTTAGTAACACTCTAAGCTTTTATCAGTTGTTATCCTACCAGCTAATGAGTTCAGCTTCCTTCTATTATCCGTTTTTGGTGAGATGGGAAGTGTGGAATAGATCAACCTGCGCCATTGCACAGTTTTACCTAGGTTTGTCCCAAATATTGGTGGATTAATCTAGGGTATACATTCATAAGAATGAAAATGCTGGCTTGAGACAAGAATTTCTAAGCTCTACAACCATGTGATAACTACCTCCAGGTTCTTCATTTCATAAATGTCACACATGTAGTATGTGCAGGGCCTTTGGAGTTCTTCCTATCCAGCCCTCTCATTTTTCATATGTGAAACTGAGGCTCAGAGAAGCAACTTACAGAAGTCAAAGTGATCTGAGCAAAGAAAGTCCAAAGTCCCAGCAAAGTGTACACCATTTACTCGGTTGCCCTACCGGAGTTAATAAAATAAAGTCTGGCACTTGCCCATAGTGCAGTGTTCAGTGTGAAATCTGCCCTTTTGATTTCTTGCTACTCTTTAAATAGAACGAGAGGTGTTTATTTTATTTCAGGTGTGACATTTTATGGCATTTAGCACTTTTAACTGAGAGGTAGAGTTGGGGTGATCATATTTGAGTTCTTCAGGTCATTCTTTCTTGGTCCTGGCTGACTTTATTGAGGACTTGTTCCATGCTAGCCACTGTGCAAAAGGCTTTACGTGGGTTATATCATTTAATCATCCAATAAGGAAGCTTATGACTTATAAGGAACTGAATTTTACAGTTGAGGAAAGTGAATGTAAGAGAAGTTAAATAATTTTCTAACACCACACAGAGCACGTGGTATGTCTGAAATGAATTCATACAGTCTAACTTAACCGTTCTTCAGACTTGGCACATGGTAGAAAGCACAAGGAGTAGATCCTGTCAATAACATTTCCAGATACTCCAAAATCACCTAGGTTTGTGAATTCGCTGGATGCCCTAACATGCAACCATATATGTGTATGTGCATATACATGTATTTATAAATTTATATATAAATAATATATCTAATGTCTAAGTACTCTTTGCCCTTTTAATTTTATTAGTTTATATTGGTAGGAGAGGTTAGCCCTAACATTTATTAGAGGGAGAAAGGGCTATGTTTACAGTATCATGCACATAGCATCTCTTCAATAAATGCCTGTTGGCCTGGCACAGTGGCTCACGCCTGTAGTCCCAGGAGGCCAAGAGGGAAGCCTGAGGCCAGGAGCTCAAGACCATCCTGGGCAACATAGGGAGACCCTCATCTCTACAAAAATAAATTTTAAAAGTTAACTGGGCATGGTGGTGTATGCCTATAGTCCCAGCTACTCAGGAGGCTAAGGCAGGAGGATCACTTGAGCCCAGGAGTTAGAAGTTACAGTGAACTATGATCGGGCCACTGTACTCTAGCCTGGGTGGCAGAGTGAGACCCTGTCTCTAAAAAATAAAAATAAAAACAAAAAATAAATGCCTGTTGAACTAATCCTTATTTTCTAAGGAAAATGGCACTTGATCGGAACCAGAAGATCCAGGTTTTAGTGCTGGTTTTAATGGTGATCCACTGTGAGGACTAGACCAAGTCAATTACCTTCTCTGAGCCTTAGTTTTCCCATGTCTAAAGTGAGTCCAGAAGTGTAAGGATCCATGATTTCACAGTAGTGTGTTCACTGTAGGGTCCAGAGTTGGCGTATCAATTGGGCATTTGAGCCTGTGCCGCTGGATTGCCTGGCGTTGTCAGGCTCCCAAAAGATCTATCCAGATTAGGACTTTGAGTGAGCACAGACCTCATCAGCGAGAGGAAGGGAGTTGCTGGGGTCTCAGAGCAGCACTGCTATGTCTTTCGTATCTTTTTCCAATCTAGTCACTGAGAAAACTTGTTGACTGGATTCCTCACCAGGCCCACCTAGTGCCCTGAGCCTCTGCTAAAAGTGGGAAAGTAAGAGTTGTACCTGTAGTGCTGTGGTAAGAAACCAAGACAGCCAGGACTGGCTGTTTTGGGTTTCATAAAAATAACATTCTCACATAGAGAATGGTCTCTAATGGGACCATTAGACTGCAGACGCTCCTAGGAACCAGCGAGGGTGAAAGGAGCAATAGCCACATCAGCAAGTCAGCCGGCGTGACCAGGTCAAGAGAGAGTGAAAGGAAGATAAGTGATATGAGTGGGGCAGAATCAAATTGAAAACAGTTTCAAGAGCACCCTCAGGACCAAGAGCAGTAGCAGAGCCGTGGCAGTGCAGAGAATGGGCCACATGCATAGCAGGAGGGAGCAGCTTGCAGGGAACTAGGGGACCCTCCGGTTCTGGGCTGTTCGCCATTGGCATCCAGGGGTGTTGAATTGACCTATCCTTGACGCTTCCACCTTTCCCTTATCATCCTTCCCACATGCCCCCACCAGCTGGGTAAAAAAAAACAAGGAAAGACAGGTTGCAAACTCAAAAGAGAGCTGAGGATCCCATTGTGAGTCTGAGAACTCTACATTTCTGTCCTTCTGTCAGCAGACTCACTCTTTCTGATAAGAAAATCTCTTAGACTTACTTGATTATGGCAATAGTAAAAGTTTACAGTCCCCGATGTGCAGTCCTAAATCCAAAATGCTCCAAAACAGTCTCTTTTGTAAGTTTGTGACAAACTAATTTAGTGGTACAACCTCACCGAAACTTACAAGATGCTATTTACAGTCTCTATATACCTCACTTAGTGGGAATTTTCATATGTTTGGTGGCGAAAATATTCACGTGTTTGATTACAGGGTGCCTCCACAGACCCTGCTGTGGGTAATATGCAATTTATGGAAGATGCATCTTAATAGCTTTCTGAAATTGGAAGAGTTCTGAATTCCAAAAACATCTGACCCCCAAGGATTTCAAACAAGAAATTGTGAACTCGTAAATTGTTTTCCTTAAATTTGAGGGTATTTATTGATCCTTTAAAGAAAGAAATGATTCATTTATTCTTCTTCCCTTACAAAGACAGCAAAGTGGGGGGAGGGGAGAAGCAAAACAAAGGTAAATGGTGACTGTTATGTCAATAAGCTGTAGCAGAAGCTTTTGGGGGTCTGAATCTTCAATACGAGTAGATCTTCTGGAGGACAGAAATCTGGATCTGTACTTTTCCTACAGTTAAAAAAAAAAAAAAATCAGATTTCGCCGTGGAACTGCATCCTCCCCCTCTCCTTTGCAGCCGAGCTGCTCATCGGAATGTGCCTCCGACTCACAGAACCATAGCGCCACCTTTCTTCCAGATTTGGAATTAAATCTCCCCACTGTCACCGGCTCACTTGCCTGCTTATGCCGTTCAATCGGCGAGAACTCAGCAAGCAAACAGTTCCTTGATACTTAAATCATAAAGGAAGAGCTTCAAAGAGGGCAAGAAAAGGTGTTTCTTCTCTTTGGTCCCTGAGCAATTAAGTTGGTAATCTAATCTGATGTCAGGGAGTGTGGACCATAAACCTTGTGTTTAATTCGTTTGCACCCGGTGTCATTTTACACACTAGACGTTTTAATTTACAACCTGCTGCATTGCAGCCCTTTCTAGGCCGTTTACTATCTAATAGGTATTCTCCTAGCTGCTAAGGTTTTAAAAATATAGATACACTCGCTTAGTTTAGATTTTTTCTTTCTTTTCAATTTTCAGTTGCAAATCAAACACGCAGTTACAGAAGCAGAGATTCACAAACTGAAGACCAAGGTAAGCACCAATGCATGGTGTTCGAATTGTACTTTTTAAACTTCAGATACTATGCATAAATTCAACCCTAGGACTAAAGGGCTTGTCGCTGTGCATTTGAAAGAATACAAGTGTGAAAGATCCATTTTCACTGTCAGTTACATAGACAAACCTGCCAATGAAAGCAAACACCCACGTCCCCCTCAGTGCAAATAACGTGGTATTTTTAAATGTATATATTTTTGTATTTGCACATATGTGGCCAGTTCTCTCTGAGATTTCCTCAAAAAGTAATATTTTTAATGATTCAAGTGTCCAAAGTATGTTTCGATCACTAATTCCTTAAACACAAGCTCTTATGTCATCTCTCCTTCATTATGAATAGATTTAAAAGGCGAAAGATTTATACGATCTGAAGAGAAACCGGAGTATAATATAAATAGATTTAATCAATCGATTGTAGCTTGTTCATCAGGAATAGTGTATTGTTTTAATACAGCACATTAATTTTTTCGATAGAAATAATATCCAGTTTCTAATACTTAAGTTTTATGAACTTAATATTGCACATGCATAATTGATATCAGGTGCCAGGTACTATTGGAAATTTTAGACAAGTTTATTTCACATTATTTAAATTTGTGGGGGAGAAAAGGTCTTGATAAAAGAGTTACATGTTATTAGTCTATTTATGAAAAAATAGAAGATTTGAAAAGACATTTTTAATTGATAAGTTATAAGGTACTCGTATGAAACACAGTTCTAGCAATTGTGTTTAGTTTTATCAAATATGTAATTTCAAAAATTTAAGGATATTTTTTGAAGTAATATACTTTATTGTTTCCATGGTCTTTTTAATATTAAGAGATATTTACTTCCCCACCACTAAAGGTCTGTTTTCCTGTTCACATAGAACGCTTTTGGTTTCTCCATGTGTTTTAAATGGAGATGAATTAATGAAGCTATTTTGGTTAAATGGTATTCTCAGCTAATTCACTCTGTAGCTCTTTAGTCAAAATATGTCTATATATCATTCATGGTGTCAGCCCAGCTCCGTGAATAATAATTTTAAAATTAGCAATGGTTGGTAAATAAACAACTTGATATAAAACATTGTTTAATAAAAGACATAGTAAAAAACCTAGTCCTGTTTTAAATGTTTGTTGTTTCTTGACATAGAAAGGAAGAAGATTTTTTAAAATTGTGGGTTAGTCAGGGAAAAAGATTTCCCTGCGATTGTAAGTGCTTTAATGGAGCTTATGTGTTAGAATATGAACATTTAATTTAGAAAATATTATAAATTAGTATTTTGTATTTTTCTCATCATTACATTGGCATATAATATCCACAGATTAGCTTATTTTACTATGATTTTTAATAAGCATTTTGATAATTTTGAAATATTTTTGGCTACCTTTTTACTTTGTAATCTGTTTTGCAGATGTGTTGTTAAAAATATACACAAAGCATGTGTGTGTGTGTGTGTGTGTGTGTGTGTGTGTGTGTGTATTTACATAAATATACATTTCCACTTGCGGAATGCTGTATGATTTTGAACATTGATAGTTTGTAATGACTGTATCCTTTTGAACTTTAAAGAAGGCATATGAAGTAGATAAAGCACTAGTTTGAAGGCCAGTTATCGGGAATGACTTTTGAGCTCTCGCCTAGAGGATCAGTCTTGAATTTCTGTAGAAATGAGGGTATTATATTAGTGTGGTATCTATTCCTAAGATTCCCTGGAAGCAGAAATTACACAAACCTACCTTTCTGTTCCATGAAAAGGAATTAAAGTAATCAAGGAACAACTTATATTTTTACTTATACTATCTTTTATACTTTTATGGGAATTGGGGTTTATAAGGCTCAAAAAATTCATTGTAATGCCTGTAAAATATGAGCTACCAGACCATGTTCCTGTCAATTAAAATTAAGAACATAATAATGTTATCAAAAGGGTCAAAAGCAAAGTAAAAATAGCTAATGTTTATCAGATGATTATTATGCCCTAGGAGCTGTTTCAAGCATACTAATGTGTTATATAGATGATATAATTGAATCTTGGAGAACTTCAGTTACTTGCCCAAGGTTTAATGGCCAATAATGGCAGAACCAGGATTCAAATCTAAGCTGAATAACTCCAGAGTCCCCTTCGTAACCATGAGGCCATACTGTGCTTTTGTGCCTTTCTCCTTTCCTTCCTGCCTCTCCCCGCTCCCTTTTTGGTTAATTTTTTACATATAATTATGCATTTTAAAAAACTCTCAAAACATTCATTGGCTATAATCACTCAAACTCTGAAACATCCATTACTGCTCACAGATCACATCATGTGGAGTGATGGAAAGATCATGAGAGTTGGAATCCAGTTTGTGTTTTCACATTTATCAGATATGTGACCTTGGGTAGGTCATTTCACTTTTCAAGTCCTCCATTTTATCATCTATGAAATTATGAAAATAATACTTGCTTTTCTCATCTCAAGGTGTTTTGATGATTGAGTATATATAATAATGATATTTAGCCTAAAAGATGTTATAAAAATATGAAAGATTTTTCCTACAGAAGTACCCAAATTATTCTTGCCTTGACATTTGCTTTCTCCAGCTACAAGCCGCAGAAAACGAGAAAATGCGCTGGGAGCTAGAAAAAACCCAGCTGCAGCAGAACATTGAAGATAACAAACAAAGAATGCTGAATCTGGAGACCTACTGGATTGAGGCTCAAACATTATGCCACACTGTCAACGAACATCTCAAAGAGACTCAAAGCCAGTATCAAGCCTTGGAGAAGAAATACAACAAGGCAAAGAAACTGATCAAGGATTTTCAGCAAAAGTAAGCAGCTTGTGATGACTGTAGAATAGTAATGTGTGTATAAAGAAGGTTTGTGTCCAATACTTTTGTAATATTTAGTGAAATAGAAAATATGACCTTGGAGTTATCAACTTCTCCAAAGCATAGTTAACAGCAAAAATACACATTAAATTTTGGAAATTGCTTCTACCATTTTTCATGAGATTATATTTTGTATATTTTACAATTTTTTGGCAACCAGTGCCTCTTGATTTTTTTGATAGTTAATCATTGATACTGTTAAATCATCTGAATTTTTTTATCCTTTTTGAAACATCTCTGTGATTTAGAAGCAAGAAGCCCAGCTGAAGTCATGCAGAATGACTGTTGATATGGCACATGCAAAGCAGCAGTTGAGGCCTAGATCAGGCTGCTCCTGTCTGTAGTCTAAGAATCAGTAACTGCAGAATTTGCCCACTACAGACAGTGTAAATATTGACTAGCAAGAGCCCCCACCCTGCCTCTCTGCATTTCTCAGCTATTGAGAGAATCACAAGGACCTTAGTTCACTGCAGTGAGAGAGACCATCACCACACTCTGCTTTTGAATTTCAACGGCTCTTTCTGAGCTACTGCTGCTTTGCTTCCATCTGTTGGATCTTGTTGTAATGTCAGGGAGACTGACAGGGGAGATTTTTACTAGATTTTTCTATCAGTTACTTCTAGCTAGCTAGAATGAAAAAGTAGTTCTAGTACCTTTTCTGGTCTTCCATACTAAGCCTTAGAAGCTAAGCATATATATAAGAGTCACGACATCTCTGTTATTTCCTATTATTGAAAGAATGCTTTTAATAGTTAAAAGAGATTGCTATCAAAATTTTATTGTTTAAAAGGGGATAATTGGTTTGTGACCATGAATTCAATACATCACTGTTTTAACTCTTTTTGTCAAATAATCATACCTAAATCTTTTTCATGTAATAATTTTATATTCAATTTTGCTAAATTTGCATATTTTATTCTAGGCTCTCAAAATGGAGCTATTTCTCCTTTTCCCCATATTATCCTTAGGTGTGTGAGTGAATACTCCCCTCAGTATTTCTCACTCACCAGCTCCCTCTTTACTGTTGTTCATAGAAAGAAATCTTATTATAATTTTTTCATTTGAACTCTTACCATCCGGTTCCATCAGTTTACTATGTATATGACACTGGAAATATGGAATTATTTCTACTCGACACGTAATTATCTCCACTAAATTACCCAAGGTGGGTCATAAGTGCAATAGCCCCTATCTAAATATGTATGGGTTTTCTACAATCAGGACCCAGAAATGAAAATCATAATAAGAAAAATCAAAGCATTTTTCTTTACTTTGTGACTCATTAAAGATATTTTATTTTCTTTCATTACTATATGCTTTTTCTTTATGATTGAATTTTGTTGATTTAAGTAAGTCATCTAGTTGTTATTGTACTGTGCCATTCATTGTTTCCAACAAGAACTTTTACATGTTTCCTCATTTATTGAGTATTTGATATAATCAGTTTTATTATTTCCTTCTTAAGAGAAATTGATTTCATCAAAAGACAGGAAGCAGAAAGGAAGAAAGTAGACGATATGGAGAAAGCCCATCTTATGGAAGTTCAGGCCCTACAAATGCAGGTGAGTTGTGGTCTCAAAGCCACTAAATAATTAGATGGTTTTGCCTGGTAATGGGAGAGGAGTGCTAATTTAGAGTTTTATGAATGGATTTGTTTTTCCTAGATTAGAGATATGGAAGATGAGTTGTTCAGGCTACTGAAGCAAAGTGGAACTCAGGTTAACAATAACAACAACATTTTTGAGAGGACAACATCTCTTGGTGAAGTCTCTAAAAGTGATACCATGGAGAATTTGGGTGTCAAGCAAACATCTTGTCAAGATGGCCCAAGCCAAGGTTTGTTTAACCTAACCACAAAAATCATTTTTAATGACTGTGTAATTTGGCCTTACATTCTTCTTTTTCTGACTCAGAGATTTAAAAGTTGAAAATATCTTCCTACTGTGGGAGAGAAGAAAGGCTTCTTAAAACAAGTCTATCATTTTAGCTCATCTTATCAAAAATAAATGCTCTAATATAGAGAATTAACAAAATCCCAACTGACAGGCCAGTAATTATTTTTAAACCATCATAAAATTGATAGACTTAATAAACTGCCTTAAAAACGATAGTCCATCCCATCTAGTCTGAGCTGCATTACTTTTGTGTTAATGAGTAAGGCTTAGAATTTTTAAATCACTAGAATAAATATTTTTTTCGTAACATCGGAAGGCAGACTGCCTGCTTCTAGTACTCGCAATTCATTTAGCTGAGAAATTCTGTACAGTTTTATACTTTACCTTGCTGTTCTATGTGTTCTTCTCAGGTCTTTTCTTGTCAAAGATCAAGTAAGACCAAAACACTGGAAACATTTTCTATTGTAAATGGTCATCTTCTTTCATACACCAACCGTAAATGCATTACTTCTGTTCTCACACACATATACCATATATAGATTGTGTGTATATGAATACGAATGAATGTTTTAATATCTATAGTATATTATAAATTAGAAAATGTATAAGAATTTATAAAGATAAATGCCCAGGAGGATATAAAACTTTTGGCTTCATCTTTTTAAATGTATACATCATAGTCCTTGGAAAATGAAAGTAAAAGAATGTTGTGCAAAATTAGCGAGGCATGATGGCACACACCTCTAATCCTAGCTACTCAGGAGGCTGAGGCAGGAGGATCGCTTCACTTGAGTCCAGGAGTTCAAGGTTACAGTGAGCTATGATTGTGCCACTGCACTCTAGCCTGGGTGACAGAGTGAGACCCTGTCTCTAAAATTAAAATGAAACAAAGAACAAACAAAAGAATGCTGTACAGCAGAATTATCATAATAGGACCGACAACTCACAGCAGCAATTGGACATGCAGTAAAACACCGTTAATAATGAGCTGTTTAGTTTTTTGATGATCTTTCTCACATATTAAAATGTCTGCAACAAGGTTTTCTTGGTAAACAAGTGTTTATATCCTATCATTAACTTTTAGAACTAAACTCTTAGCTATTAAAAATGGAAAATATTGGAAATCTTCATTTAAAATTAAAGTGATATCTAGAGATTGCTTCCATTCACTAGGTTTATATCCTTCTGATGGGTTTTCTCTAAATAGGACATAATTTATAAACAGTGCCTCTCAGGCAGCTGAAAGAGGAGAATTTAGCACCGGTATTACCGCTAACTGAGGAGGTAGGGTGACTTGAAGAAGATCATTCACCTTCTCTGGGGTGATTTTGCTATGTATATTATAAAAATAGTAATACTTCTTTCTTCTCTCACCTACAGGGTGTTTTGAGGGTCTATAACTTAGTCCATAAGGCCAAAAAAAGTAATGGTATTGAAGTTCTTGTGGAATTATAACTTTTATACCTAGAACACTATAATATTGATATCTAAAGAGAAACATCAGAACTCAAACCAATGCGTGTTTTTTTCACTTTTTTGAATATTTTAACTTTAAAATAATTGTGGTTTATAATAAATACACATTTCTGCTGTGGCATACACAAAGTATGAACAGTAACCAGTAGCTTTTCATTTCTATTCATTATTTTCAGTTTAGAAATTTGTATCTTGTCAAACATATAATTAATGGTATTTATTAAATTATATGACTATAGAAGATCACAAACTATACTATTAATATGGTGATTGTGATCAAAACCTTACATTTCTTCTGAACCCTTTTTCTATTCTACACCCTCCATTTTGCCACATAATTATCGGTTTCCTTAGCAACACTGCCGGTTCACAGTGAGATGCAGAGACTACTAATTCTTACTGAAACCAATCCATGCTTTTGCAGTAGAGGTAGAATCAGCCACCTCAGACATTAGTAGCATACATAACAAGCAGTGCTCTACAAGTTTTACTGAGGACGGTCAGTGATAGATCTCCTTCAACTTCAATTGCTTGATCACATAAACTAAAATGACTTGGTCAGTAGCTAGATAGGAATGCTCTGGGAAGCACTTTTCTAAATAGATCCTTTCTTTTGCTAGGGAATGCTGAAGTACTAGAGGTGTAGAAAGGGGAGTAAGGGCACACAGCTAACATCAGCCATTCAGCATTTAAAGATCCCCACCGTCTTTTTGCACTATGAGAGGTACAGCGGGTATGGTCAGTTTCCCTAGTCCCTATCTATTATATGCAGTATTATCCTCCCTACTTCCTTCTGTCCAGTTCTGATTTGCTCTCCAGACACTACAGTGTTAAGATGAGTGGTTTAGCCTGTTTTTAGACCTTGAGGGAGCTTCTGAAGCAAAAAGATTATCAATTACAGGTCAATGAAAAACTGTCTGAATGAAATAGTGACAGAAAGAGAAAGGGAAGGCAAGTGAAGGCAGCAGAAAGGAAGAGCTATAAGCAACCATTTCTTCATGTGGACCCAAGCTCTTCTAGAACAGAGCTTTCCAAGTGGGAATGGATTAATTATGTGACTCTCAACATTAAATTATTGTAAATTTTTGAGGAATAAAACTGATTTCCAAACCATACAAAAATTTACCAGTTAAAATTATATTTGAACACCATTTGTATGTTTCTCTCTATAAATTAAGCCAACTCAAGTATTTCATTAAAATTCTGATAAAGATTATCCATACAAATTCATGATTTAATATAGTCTAATACTTTTTTCTTATCATTATTACATAAAGCAAATGGAACAAATTTTTTTGTCTAACCAAGAGTCATAACAGACCCCAAATCCAATCTAGTTTATACCAGTGTACTTGCCAAATATTATTTTCCATATGTGCCAGGAGAGGAAAAATGATAATTTTGCCCTACTGCTGTGTTTCATGTTTGTTATTTCTTAGTGCCTAGGTAATGCCAGGATTAGAATAAGAACAGAGAATAAGCTTGTTAGATCTTGGTAGGTTAGAGGATTATAATCTTAGTTTGATTCAATTTCCTAGATAAGTCACTGAAACAACATATTCTTCCTGAGCTTCTATATATTCCAGAATCTTTATGTTGATACTGTTTTCAGCTTCAAATATTTTATAGGCTGTTTTGATGAAGAAGGATAATGCATATTCCATAGAGGTACTGAAAGACTAGGACCAATAGGTGGAAGTTACATATGAAGGCATGTTCTGATTATCCTGAGGAGTCAGGAGTAAATATGACATGATTTATTAATAAAAAGTTATTTTTGAACACTGAAAACTTGCTTCCAAACAGGCTTTACGGGGCACACTGATTGCAAAGGGAAGGGTGGCTGCTAGGTAGAAAGTAGTTAGCCCTGCCAAGTGTACAATAAGGTATATAATTTGTGGGGTGGCTGGGACCAAGGGTGAAGGAGAGAAGAAGTTTGGTAAGAGACAAATAAATGGAATTTAAGGCACTGTGTAAGTATCTTAAGAAATGAGGGGGGGTCCAAAGAAGAGAAAAATTGAATAAAATTAGGATTTTTTTTTTCCTGAATCATAGACATTATATTAAAGGTGGGGCCATTTGAAATGGCATAGGGTATTCTTGGAGTAAAAATGCGCTTTGAGTGCCTGAAGAAGAGTTTGTATATAATTTTATAAACATTGTGACCCATGAACAGTTTTGAAGCGTAACAGGAACTAAGTCACTTGTAGATTTGTAAATGTAATCCCAGGAATTCTGTGAAGTTTGAATATTGCCACCAAGTGCTGCTTCTTTCTCACACCTACCTACTCAGACAGTGGACCTCCAGTTAGATAAGCATGTTATCTTCCCAAAAGTGTGAATGTGGAAGGTTACATAAAGCGTTTTCTACTTCAATCCTTTAGTTTCTTATTACTCCTTAGCTCTGATGAGAACTGAGCAAGAAGGAAAAGACTTAAATTACAACATGACGGATTGTAGGACAGTCTAGACTTTCACAATAGGTTGTGGCTGGAATTAATTACTGAATCCTGAATGTCTTTAAAAATAAGAATG